CTGTCCTGATGTCCCCTATCCCAGGAAAATCTCTGTTTTTGTATCTCTCCATACTCGAGAACTCCATGGGGTGTGTTCTGGGTCAACACGACGAGTCTGGGAAGAAGGAAAGAGCCATCTACTACTTAAGCAAAAAGTTCACCGATTGCGAGGTCCGGTATCCTCCTATTGAGAAGGTTTGTTGTGCCCTGATATGGGCTACAAAAAGACTTCGACAATACATGTTGTATCACACCACTTGGCTGATTTCCAAGTTAGACCCACTAAAATACATGATAGGTGTACCTTCTCTATCCGGAAGGTTAGCCCGATGGCAGATTCTTTTGTCTGAATTTGACATTGAATACGTGAGCCAAAAAGCGGTAAAAGGCAGCGCCATATCCGATTTTTTGGCAAGCAGAACTGATGAGAGCTATGAGCCGCTGGACTTCGATTTCCCAGACGAGGACTTAATGGCCATATCTTTAGAGGAAGCAAGCATTTCAACGGACGGTTCCTGGAGAATGCACTTCGATGGGGCATCAAATGCACTAGGACATGGCATTGGGGCAATTCTAGTCTCCCCAGAAGGGAGTCACTACCCATTTACCAGCAGACTGAACTTTGATTGTACCAATAACATGGCAGAATATGAAGCCTGTGTCTTGGGAATTCGGGCTGCACTGGGGCAAAATATAAAGACTTTGCGGGTATATGGAGACTCAGCCTTAGTAATCTATCAGCTCCGAGGAGAGTGGGAAACCAAGGATATAAAGCTGTTAGAGTACCGAAAACTAGTGTTGGATCTGCTCGAAGAGTTCGACGAAGTCACCTTCCACTACGTGCCTAGAGAAGAAAATCAAATGGCTGACGCTTTAGCTACCTTGGCTGCCACATTCAAGGCTGGCGGGGAGTCTGAAATGATGCCAATTAACATGCAGTCGTATGAGTATCCAGCTCATTGTTACCAAATTGAAGAAGTGAAAGATACTAAGCCTTGGTACTACGACATTCTGCAGTATATCAAGCATCGGAGTTATCCAGAAAAAACCACTGAAATCGAGAAGAGAACCCTTAGAAGGTTGGCAGCTGGATATGTCCTTGACGGAGAGGTTTTATACAAGAAAAGCCATAACCAAGTTCTGTTAAGGTGCGTCGATGCTGAAGAGGCAAAAATGATAGTGGAAGAAGTACATGATGGGGTTTGTGGAGCACATGCAAATGGGCATATGATGTCAAGACAAATAATGAGATGCGGATATTTTTGGTCCACACTGGAAAGTGATTGCATCAACTATGCTAGGAGATGTCATAAATGTCAGATTTATGGAGACAAGATAAATGTTCCACCCCATCCACTTCATGTAATGACGTCACCATGGCCTTTTTCTGTGTGGGGCATGGACATTATCGGGCAAATCCATCCAAAGGCTTCGAATGGTCACCGTTTCATTCTCGTAGCAATTGATTATTTCACGAAATGGGTAGAGACTGCGTCATACGCCAGTGTCACTCAATCCACTATTTGCAAGTTTCTGAAGAAAGAAATTATATGTCGGTATGGTCTACCTGAAAGGATTATCACCGATAACGCAACAAACTTGAACAACAAGATGATGAGTGCTGCTTGCGAACAGTTCAACATAAAACATCACAATTCCACTGCTTACAGACCAAAGATGAACGGAGCAGTAGAAGCAGCAAACAAAATATCAAGAAGATAGTGGAGAAAACAACTGAAACCTACAAAGACTGGCATGAGAAGTTGCCTTTTGCTTTGTTCGCTTATCGAACCTCGGTACGTACATCGACTGGGGCAACTCCATTTTCACTAGCCTACGGAATGGAAGCAGTGCTACCCATTGAAGTCGAGATTCCGTCTCTCAGGGTCTTGTCAGAAGTCAAACTAGATGATGCAGAGTGGGCACAATCCAGATATGATCAACTTAATCTGATAGATGAAAAAAGACTGAAAGCCATTCATCATGGTCAAATCTATCAGAAACGAATGATCAGAGCACACGACAAAAAGGTGCGCCCGAGAATATTCCATGAAGGGGATCTAGTGCTGAAAAGAATTTGGCCAGTCCAGAAAGATTTCCGAGGAAAATGGACGCCAAATTAGGAAGGTCCTTATGTCGTGAAAAAGGCTTTCTCCGGAGGAGCCCTTATCCTGGCTGAAATGGACGGACCTGAGCTGCCACATCCCATTAACTCGGACGCAGTCAAGAAATACTTCGCTTAGGATGAAAACCCGAGAGGGCGTCCTAAGTCAAAAAAAAAAAAAAAAAAAAAACGTTTAGGGTGAAAACCCGAAAGGGCGCCCTAAATCAAAAAAGAAAAAAGAGGAAAAGAAGAGAAAATAAGGTGGGTTCAAGATGAAAACCCGCAAAGGGCGTCTTGCAACTAAGGATGGGTCCAAGTTGAAAACCCGGAAAGGGCAATTTGGATATCAACGGTGGAAACATCCCGGCACATGAATCTTCTACGAACCCAACAAATCGGAGAAATGTCGCACCCTCCCAAACGTTGTCGCATTTTCAAAGATCCTTTGGCAAAGGCTGCATTCAAAGTCACCAAACGGCTTTTCAACTCAGAAGTGCCCACGTTATCAAGATCTAAGACATTCATTTACACATCATTGTGTATTCGTTTTCTAGAATGTTTGCCATGTATTATTTGTTCTTCTCCTCCCTTATGAATAAAGACCATCTTTCCTCCAATTCCTTTTGGGCATCTTGAATTAGATTTAAACCTAATGATTTATTTATTTTTATGAAAGATAATCGCATATTACTGTACAAAGATTCATTGAAAAGTACAGGTACCCAGAAGCCGATCAAGGCTCATGCACATGCTTGAGATGGTTGAGGAGCATCTTCAAAAAAAAAAAAAATCATCATCAAATATTTGAAGAATTTAAGATCAGAGATCGGAACTTCAAACTTTCAAAGTCAAGAGTCAACAACGACAGGCCACCGGAAATCAAGATTTCTCTCCAGAGCCCGTAATAACATATGTTGCCCATACATTTAGGCATACCTAAGAGCATGACATCCATACCATCGCATATATGCATATCTTTGCAGGTTTTACCCAGAGCCAATTTCAACTTCACAACGAAGGATATTGGACTCCAGACAACGCAAGTTCAACTTCACGACGAAGGGACCGCTGGTTGTCAACAAACATTTCTCAAATTCAGAGCCAATTTCAACTTCACAACGAAGGATATTGGACTCCAGACAACGCAAGTTCAACTTCACGACGAAGGGACCGCTGGTTGTCACCAAACATTTCTCCAATTCAGAGCCAATTTCAACTTCACAACGAAGGATATTGGACTCCAGACAACGCAAGTTCAACTTCACGACGAAGGGACCGCTGGTTGTCAACAAACATTTCTCAAATTCAGAGCCAATTTCAACTTCACAACGAAGGATATTGGACTCCAGACAACGCAAGTTCAACTTCACGACGAAGGGACCGCTGGTTGTCACCAAACATTTCTCCAATTCAGAGCCAATTTCAACTTCACAACGAAGGATATTGGACTCCAGACAACGCAAGTTCAACTTCACGACGAAGGGACCGCTGGTTGTCAACAAACATTTCTCAAATTCAGAGCCAATTTCAACTTCACAGCGAAGGATATTGGACTCCCGACAACGCAAGTTCAACTTCACGACGAAGGGACCGCTGGTTGTCAATAAACACCTCTCAATTTCAGAGCCAATTTCAACTTTGCAACGAAGGATATTGGACTCCAGACAACGCAAGTTCAACTTCACGACGAAGGGACCGCTGGTTGTCAACAAACATCTCTCAATGTCAGAGCCAATTTCAACTTCACAGCAAAGGATATTGGACTCAAGACAGCACAAGCTCGACTTCACAACGAAGGGACGACTGACTGTCAACGAATAATTTCTCAATTCCATAGCCATTTCCAACTTCACAAACAGGTTGACTCAATTTCAAGACGAAGGAGTCATCTGCAAACACCGAAGCTTTCAGGTCAAGTTCCACCTTCACGACGAAGTATCTTGAGCCAGGAGACGATTCAGAGGCCAATTGTCAAAAAGCTTTGAGCTCGTTTTCAACTTCACGACGAGGGATTTCGTGCTCAGCATTTTTCAGTTTAAACTTAACCTCACGGAGAGGGAGTCATTTCGACAATTTCAACTCTACGACAGAAAATGTTCGATATAGACAAAATTTGTGTCTTTTAATCTTTGCTCTATTTTCGTTACACGATAATGAGCAAAGAGGGGCAGCTGAAGACACCAAATTTTATCCTTTAACATTATATAATATATTTACATTATAATTTATATATATATATATATATATATATATATATATTTTACATATGGTGCATACATATTTACACACAAATCTGTTACATTTGCAGGCCTGCTACACGAGGCCCAGCTGTACACAACCCAAACGTAGGAGTCCAAACATGTGGGGTTTTCAGAAACCCTAAACATATGCTCTCAAACCCTAGCCTCGTCAGCGCCGCTTCAGCTACCTTTTCACGCGGCCAACACCGAGTTTCACGGCAAGACTCCCATCACCGCACGTCTCGCCTTCAACGACCGGGACTCTCGGCCACGCAAAGAAATAAACAACAACAACCAACATCAGTGTTTTACTTTAATTTAAACTCTAAAAATAGCCATTTTTTGGGCTATAAATATTATGTAAAGCACACAAGTTTAGGGGGGGATTACTGCGAATACACACAGAAAGTCACCATAGCAAGCACAAAGAAAGTCAGAACACTTGTACAACATTTCGAAACAAGAAATAAGAGCGAGGTATATTAGTTGTTTACCTTTTGGTTCGCTTGATCCTTTGCACGTCAAATTTATCGTCCATCGTGTTGTTTTAAAAAAAAAAATCTTTTGGCCGATGAAAAGGTGTTTTCGTTCGAGATCGTTTGTATAGATCTACGAAAACCCGAGGCCTATTTCAAAAAAAAGGTTTGAGATTTGAGTCAAAGGAGAGAAAGGCTTTCAGAAAAACCAATTTTTTATGGGTTTGCCGCCGATGATCGGTGGCCGGCGCCGACCAACGGCGGCCGGCGAGGCGGCGTGTGGCCATTTCTGGGATTTTACGGCGGCGTGTTCTTCATTTCTGAAGAACACGCATGAACAGATGAAGGAAACGAGAGAAAGAGAGGAGAGCTCTCGGGCGAGGAAGGGAGAAATGAAGAGAAAAAAAGGTTTTTGGGCTTTATACATAGCCCGTGCGGTGACCCGCGCGTCAACCCGACCCGGGGAAGGATCCGCGTGTTTTGTTAAAAGGGGTAAACTTCATTTTGGCTCCCTCTGTTTTGAAAAACATTCAATTTGGTCCCCAAACCGGTTGGGTAAACTTCATTTTGGCTCCCTCTGTTTTAAAAAACGTTTAATTTGGTCCCCAAATCGGTTTAATTCCCTTGGTTATATTCTGATTTTGCCGTCTAACTTTATTTTGTTTCATTTTACCCCTTTATACTTATATATATTTTATTATATCTCGTATTTACTCTTTTATACATAGATATTTGGATTTTTATTTATTTACACTATAATATATTATATTCCTATTAGTTTATATATATACATTACTTATTTTTCTTTTATTATATGCTATTTATTATATATATATTACTCATATTTGCTTTTCTTTATTTTCTTTGTTTTTATATTTTTTATGGATGTATATTTTTTACCTATCTATTTATATTTTTATATTTTTTTTTCTTTTCTATTAATACTTTTTGTTGTGTTTCACAAATTATTATATTCGTATATATTATTTTTAATTTAACTATTACTATTATCTTCTTTTTACTAATTTATATATATATATATTTGCGTTATTATTATATATGTATACTTTTTTTTCTTCATGGATTATTTTTGCTTAATGTTATATTTTAATATATATGTATATATATATGTATATATCTATGTATATACTTGTAATAGTTTATTTATATATCTATTATTATTATGTGTACATTTCAAACATTTTATTCGATTACCTTTTTCTTTACTTTGTTTTATTTCTTTGATGATCATCTTTTTATTCATTGTAATTTATTTATTCGTTGGTTGTATGTAGATTATCAATGTTTCATTTATTTATTTTACTCTGCTTATTAACCCTTTTTTTTCCACTATTTTTATCTTCATTCTTGTTTCCCTTATTTTTCATTTTTTTTATTTTCGTTCTTTAACGTCTGTATTGTTAAGGGAATTTCAATCAATCAAGGGTAAGTAGTTCAGATCGATGTTTTACCTTTTAGTTTAACTTTCAATTCTCTTAATTAAAGACAACTGGAAATTACATAGTACCGAAAGGGCAGTTCAAGGGTGCTAATCCTTCCTTGGCTGTAATCGATTCCCGAGCCCGACATATTTCCGGTAAGACGCAGATCAGGTAAGATGGTGTCCGACCCACCTAAATTCGTTTTAAAGTGGTCGGTGGCGACTCCAATCCACATTTTTCAAGTCGAAGCCCAATTCCGGGGCTCAACGGAAAGACGGTTGCGACAGCATGATCACGTATTATCTCATGTTCCACCACCTTTCCATACTTTGAGAAGAAATTCTTGAACTCATCTAATGTTCGAACATGGGAAAGGACAAATAATAAGCAAACACAATTTTCCATCTATAAGCATCGCCATAACAATAAGTAAAATAAAAATATAGCAAAAGTGCATATGCATCAAATATCATACCTTCAGTAACTGATGTTGGAATCCCACCAACAAATATTTTCTTTGTCCTGAAGTCATTTGACCAGGAAGAACCTTTTGGAATAGTCCTTTTAATCTCAACCTGCCAAAAAAATCAATCCATCATGCAAGATTAAACACTTGAGAAGCCTCACAATAAGACCAATCCAAGATTTCCGTCAAATAAAAAACTCATATTATAGCTAAATACACCCCAACCCCAGCCCCAGCCATATCATGGTGGGCAGTTTTTTTTTCCCTTTGATTACAGCAACATTATCATTAAAAAGGTTGACTCTCCGCAATTTATAAGCAACGCAGTCAAAAAGAGAGGAACTAAACCCCAAGAAAACAAAAAATCAAGTTCTAAAGTTGATCATTCCCTAGTTAAGAGTTTTCATATTGTAACCAACAGCAGAATCTTCAAATACAACAACACAAATACAAATACAAGGTTGAAAGGTTTAGCTTACTTGTTTCCCATTAATAACATGATCTTCTTGCATAACAGTGTCAACAACAGAAGGATCCGCGAAGGTGATGAACCCGAAACCACGGGGCCGCCCCGTATGTCGATCTTTCATTATAACAAAATCTGTTATCTCCCCATACTTTTCAAAGTACTTGGTAAATGTATCTGAAAAATCCCAGCATAACGCCCGAAAGCCCATAATAAAGGGGATAAAAGTCAGTAATTTGAATAAGAGAAAATAACCTCAGTGACCAAAAATCTTAGATAATATACGATTTTGACTAACTTTTTTTGGATTTGCGAAAATGACCAACAAAATCGCAATGCGATCTCTAATTCGCATTGCGATCTCCACTATCGCAAATTCACGTTGCATTTCGCATTGCGATAGTTGAAAATCGCGTTGCGTTTTTCCATTTCGCGTTGCGATAGTTGGAGATCGCGTTGCGATTTTCCATTTCGCGTTGCGATAGTTAAAACGCGATCTCCATCATCGCAAATTCGCGTTGCGATAGTTGAAAATCGCGTTGTGATTTTCCATTTCGCGTTGCGATAGTTGAAAATCGCGTTACGATTTTTCATTTCGCGTTGCGATAGTCTACAATTGTCGTTGCGATTTTCCAAATTCGTTGAAAAAAAAAGATTTTATTTCTTAAGAATTTTAATGAAAAATCGCAACGCGACTGTAAACTATCGCAACGCGACTATAGACTATCGTAACGCGAAATGAAAAATCGCAACGCGATTTTCAACTATCGCAACGCGAAATGTAACGCAAATTTGCGATAGTGAAGATCGCAATGCGAATTAGAGATCGCATTACGATTTTGTTTGTCATTTTCGTAAATCCAAAAAAAATTGATCAAAATCGTATATTATCTGAAATTTTTGGTCACTGAGATTATTTTCTCTTTGAATAATACCCATCAAAGAAAAAACGCATAAAAAACACAACGATGGAGGAAAAAAGAAGGAAAAAAGCTCTGTCACCTAGAGTTGTGTCCTTAGCTAAGCCTCCAACGAAGATTTTCCTACACAAGAAAAAAAGAAAGAAAAACTATCATATATCGAGATTGTTTGGAAATAGAAAACGAAGGCCGGGGTAGTATAAATTAGCATTACCCAGGGCTAGCGCCATCGTTGTCACCGCCTTTTCTGGAACCCATGAAAGCTAGTTAAGTTTTTGAGATCTAGATAGAGAGATGTGGGAAGGAAGGTACGGGAGGCTAGTGTTTGAAGATAAAAGCTGCTGTGGAGGTATGTTGATATTGAAAAATCAGAAGCTTACATACATCAATTATATATATATATATTGGTGATTTGTTTTGGTTTATTAAGGCGGTGAGTTTTCTTAATGTTTTGTGTTCGCAATCTTCGACGCGGGGATGTAGGGGTGTTCAAATAATTGAATTAATTCGGTTAATTGATCGAAATAAATTAGTTCGGTTAATTCGATTCGGTTAACGGTTAAGAAAAATTTTAGAATTCGGTTAACGATTAATTCGGTTCGAATTTGGTTAATTAACCGAATTAACCGAAATTAAATTTTAAATATATTATATATAACATATGTGCTCAGCCCAAACCATTTAAAACACAATTAATAATTTAATATCTAATAACTTTTAAACCTAAATCAATATTAATTAATTAAAAAATTATATAAAATTTTTATTTTATAATTATATATTATTTAAATTAATTGTAAACTGTTTTTTTAATTAAAAAATATTATATATATTATATATAACATATGGGCTAAGTCCAAACCATTTAAAATCCAATTAATAATTTAAGATCCAATAACTTTTAAACCTAAATCAATATTAATTAATTAACAAATTTATCTGAAATTTTTATTTTATAATTATATATTATTTAAATTAATTATAAACTTTTTTTTAATTAAAAACATTTAATTTTTATATAAATTAGAAAATTTAAAAAAAAATCGGTTAATTCAAAAATTAACCGAATTAACCGAAATTTATTCGGTTCGTTTAATATATTTGAAAAAAAATTCGGTTCGATTAACGGTTAAAGAAAAAAAAAGTTTAATTAATTCGGTTCGGTTCAGTTCGATTTTAACCGAATGAACAGTCCTACGGAATGTAACTTACATCATGTAAGCTTCTTTTTTAGGATAAATTATGTATTTAGTCACTTACCTATTCCATATTTCCGTTTTTTTCATTTAATTTCTTTTTCAAAATTATATTTAACGTTACGTTTTACTCACCCGTTGTTAACAAATTAATAATGATGTTGATGTATTACTATATGATAATGACATGTCATCAGTGAAAATAAAAAAATATAAAAATCTACATTAGAAGTTCCATTAATTTTTTAATTGTGAGTAACCAAAATAGAACAAAAACGTAACATTAGATATAATTTAAAAAAATAGTTTGATGAATAAAATAGAAGGCATAATGTCAAAATTAACTCTCAACGTTTATCAAAATGATTATTTTGTCCCTTATTCTATTTTTTGGAGTATCTTGGCCCCCCGACGTTTTATTTTAGTGCAAAAAGACCCTTAACATTTGACAGAATAATTATTTTATCCCTTATTCTTTTTTCTGGAGCATTTTAGCCCTCAACGTTTCATTTTAGGTTAAAAAGGTTCATATTTTAGAGTATTAATCGTGTGTTAACTAATGATTTTCATCATCTATAGAGTGAGCCTTTTTACCCCTGAAGTGAAATATTAGGGAATAAAATACTCCAAAAAGAAGAATATAGACCAAAATGTCCATTTTGATAAATATTGGGGACTATTTTTGGCATTATTCCAAAATAGAATTGCATGAATAGATAGATGACTAAATTCATAGTTTATCTTTTTTCAGATTGGGTAAAATATCACATTTCGGTCATAAATGATTTTTAAAAAAATTTAAAACTTAATCAATTAATTAAAATATTTTAATAAATAAATTGTTAATTGTTAAATGTTAAATAAAATAATAGTATAGTTTAGTTTTAGTCACTAAAATTCAACAATTTTATTTTAATTTAAATTAATTTAGTTTAACCCTTTATATTTAAAAAATTTATCAACTCGATTATTTTTCTTCCTCGAATCGTTTGTTCACCCCTTAGAAATATTATATTATTTTTATGTTGCTTAGAATTACCCTTAACATCTTATATGACGTTGAATGTTATCAATAAAAGCATTGCGCTTATGGTGTCGTGCGAGAAATGAACATCCATATTAGTTGGTAGAGCACAAGGCTCTTAATCTTGGGTCGTGGGATTGAGTCTCACGGAAGGCATTTCATAATTCGGAGATCTTCTACGGAAGCTGCTCTCAATCTAATGTTGGGGACAACCTACTATCTTACCTCCCCTTACCCTATTACATATAGGAATAATGGTCAACTAATTTATTGTGACGTGTGAGACATCTAGTAGGAGATTTAACAATTTTTTTCTATGGAAACTATTTTCCACTATACACTTTAGGATACTTTTTTATTTGTTTTAGTTAAGAACTTGCGGTTTATTAATTTGTTTCGTTGAGTTTAAGGTTTTTAATCTTGGGGTCGTGGGATCGAGTCTCACGGAAGATATTTCATAATTCGGAGGTCTTCTACGGAAGCTGCTCTCAACCTGGTGTTGAGGACAACCTACTATCTTACCTCCCTTTTACATATGGGAATAAGGGTCAACTAATTTATTGTGACGTATGAGACATCTAGTAAGAGATTTAACAATTTTTTTCTATGAAACCTATTTTCCACTATACACTTTAGGATACTTTTTCTTTGTTTTAGTTCAGAACTTGTGGTTTATTAATTTGTTTCGTTGAGTTTAATACAGATTAATAGGAACTCTGTGATGATGATGAAAGATGGTCATCAAAATTGCCCTTTTTTGTCTGAATAATATCTTAGAGCTAATGTGTGTTCATGTAGGGGTTACATTGTAAGGCGTCCATTTCTGATTAGTTACCGTTAGTGTGGGTATTGTTATAGTTTAGGGACAAATTTTGGTGACAGATTCAGGATGCACAAGTTAAGGTACCCTTACCCTTCAAACCCAAAATTAGAAGGACGATTTATTTCGAGAACCATCACATGCCTCTGTCTAATTCTATAAAGCTCTAAATTAGATTCACTATTTCAAGAATATCTCAATTTGTGGGGGTTTTCTTTTTCGATATAGAAATTAAAGTAAGCTTAGATTTTTGCATTGAAATAATAAAATAATAAAAATATTTTTTCGTAGGCACATTAGCAATATTTTTTCAATAATAGAAGTCAGTTAAAAGCGCGTATGTTGCCCTTGATAAGTCAAATTGGAGAGTTAAAGATAACCGATGGAAGCTCACTGTCCCCGAACGGTTGCGTGGTTTTCTCTGGTTAGCTCTCCAAGACAAGTTTCCCACAAATCAAGTGCGATGTGCTCGACGTATAGCCTTGGACTCTCCTTGCTCTTCTTGTCATGGTGCGACTGAATCCCTACTCATCTCCTCCGTGATTGTCCCTCGACACGCAACCTTGGTGCACCTTTGTCTCACTATATACTTGTAGATGCTTAATTTGTCTGGGGCCTTTACCATTTTCAAATGAAAGCAGTTCTGGGGAGTTAAAAATCAGAAATAAACGTGAGAATGCAGTTAACAAAAAAAAAAGAGCCATTATTGGTAGTTAAGGAGCACGATATTGGGGCAAGTAAAAAACGGTAAAGAGTCTGTTTTTTGGAAAAAAGATTAGATTATCAACCATTAGAAATTACAAAAATTTTTAGCAATTAACGGGGAGCCAATAAAAAAAATAGAGATCACAAAGCAAAAGGAGAAGAACCAGAGACCAGTTTTGTTTCTTAAAAGAAAGGAAAGTACGAAAATTGTGGTCTGATTTTTCGTTTTTTTGTACACAACAGAATAACAAGGAAAACATAAGCAGTGTAAACAGCAGTCATTTTCCCGTATTTGAAAGGGCGAGCAGTGTAACAAGGATTTTCCCTACTATTCTCGAAGCAATACAAATTTATTGAGGTATTTTTTATTTGTTTTAATTTTTGTTTTCCAGTGCCTTTGTGTGCGTTTAAGGATGAAATATTAGTAAAGAAGAAAGGGTTTTGAGGTTAAATTACCTGGGTTATAGGAAATCCGGTGGAGTTTAGTTGACTTCTCGTCGCCGTTAGGATTTCATTGTCGTAAAAAAATTGGGTTTAGTCTTAGTGAGTCGAATGATTTTGAAATAAAATAGAAAATAGAGAAATTCATTTACCTTGTTATATTGGGTCTTCATCGGAGTAGGGAAGTAGTTTAGGTGTCCCAGAAGTTTTGGGTGATCGGAGAAAGGGGCCATTGTTGAGCTGTGGCCAAAGAAGTTTTGAAGGTTCATGGGTATTGAGGGTTTCAATTAAGAGTAGTAGAGGGGTTTGACTATAGGCTATAGCTCAGCTACTGAAAGTTCCAATCCCTATTATAGATGATAATGCAAAATTGGATTAGAAAATAGAAAGCAAAAGTGATATGTCAGAGATGATAATAAGTGAGGCAGTGGCGTTGGGAGGCAATGTTTGAAATCCATGGCTGCGTGATGTGAGAGAAGAAGAGTTGTGCGGCCAAAGGGTAAATTAAACTTTAGTTTAGGTTTAGTTAGGTTTTGTATAATATCATTTGGGTTAATTAATTTTTAGCCATTGAATTTCTTGGTGAAATCAGGTTTCCAGTCCTCAAATTTTAAGCTTATTTTACACCTTAGTCACCTTTAGGACTACTTTAGAATTTAATCTCTTATGTTTGTCCTAATTTTGCTGTTTTTCCAGTTTTAATTTTAGTTATTCACGTGTAGGTCCCTTGTTTGTGCGCATTTTTATATTTAGGTCATTGGATTACTTTTGATTTTATAGATTGGATTTTACATTTATTTAAATTTAGTCATATTTTTAATATGTATATACATGTTTTTTCTAAAAAAATTGTAGTTTGACATATCATGTTTTTATTTTTATATTTGAGTCACACTTGTACATTATATGTTAATATGCATGGTTTATGATTTTTTTTTTTAAATTTTAATTAAAATATATGTATGTAATTTTTTTTGTATGTTACATTGTATGATATTTTTAATTTTGTTTAATTAATTTTTGGCATGACATACTTTTTGCAGAATTTGTATGATATCCTCATTTGCGTAACTCGACATATTACATAATCGGACTAAAGGGTAATACCCTTTTAATTTAAAATTGTCCTAAGTGGCCTGTTTTAACTAATTAGAGGGTCATTTTGACGATTTTAAATTAAAAGTGTATCCCGAAAGTGAAACAAAAAATTGATTCGTCACCTAAAATATGGGAACGAGAGAAAAGGAAATGTTCGTTTATTTAAATTTATCGAAAAAAGGTTGTTATATCTTTTAAGATCTAGTCTCGATATTTGTAAATAATCGAACATTCTTTATCTTTCTAAAATGACTCGGTAATTTTAATTTAATTTATTTGAGTGTTTTTGAATATTGTAAAATTCACTTTTTTGTTGTTTTACGGGATCAAAAATTAAATTAAATTCGAATTTGTAAAGTTCATTGCAAAGACGTTAATTAATCGATTAGGTACCGATTTAGGGCGTTGTGGGGGTGCTAATCCTTCCCCACACGTAACCGACTCCCGAACTCGGATTTTGGTAACGCATACCTTAATTTGTTGTTTTAATTAAAAATTAATTTTTATTTAAAATAACAAACATTTTTGGGTGCCCAATCACACCCTAATCAAAGATTGGTGGCGACTCTTGGAACCGTATTTTTTTCGATCGTAAAGGAAATCCAAAATTTTTCGAAACGAGAAGTTTTTAAATCGCATTTATTTTTAAATTAAATCAATTGAAAGAGATAATTAAGAATTAATGTGGTTTTTAAAATCTCACATTTTCACCTTTAAGGAAAAATCGTTTCGACAATACTTTACCTTCCTTCTTTGATCTCGACCTCAAAGAATGGTTTATTCAAAACCTGCAGACGTATACCCACTGTTCTGATATAAATTGTAAGTGGAATGTTCTTTTCACCTCTATTCTTTGGCAACTATGGAAAGCTAGGAACGACATAATTTTTCAGCAAGGTTCTCTCGACACCAAACTTGCTTTTCATGCTGGCATTGCATGGGGGAAAATTAATGTTGAATCTGCTGCTCCTCCTTTCCGGTTACAGCCCCAGTGCTCACCCTGGTTCAATGTTCATTGCCGAGCAACGGCGGGATTTGTCTAAACGCTGACGGTTCTCTCTCCCATTCGACTCATCATGGCTCTTCTGGTGGTGTACTACGGAATTCCATAGGAGATTGTTTAGCTTCTTTTTGCAGGTCTCTTGGCCATGTTACGATACTTGAGGCTGAGCTTTGGGGCATCCTTGATAGTCTTCGCATTGCATGGCAGCATGGGTTCGATAAGGTCACTGTCCAGATTGATAGTTTTTTTATAATAGAGGAATCTACCTTGTGTGTTTAAAAAGGTGAATAATTTTGTTGTCCCTCAACTTTTTCAGTTTAATTATTTTATCCCTTAAAATTTTATTATGTTTCTTTTATCCCTCAACTTTTTTAGCTTAATTATTTTGACCCTTAAAATTTATAACTATACTTATTATTTTTAATATTCAAACTTAAAATCTCGAACATATTTTATTGTTATAACCTACGTTTGGCTTTTTTTTATTAGTCTAAGTATTTATAAGATAATATTTACTCAAAAAACTCTTAATCATTTAAGAATGAACATTAAAACATTCTTACAATTATCATGCTAAAATTTAAGACTTTTAAAAATAATAATTATATATTAATTACTAAATTCATTCGATTCGTGCTAATCAACATTTTCTTTTAATAATAACGCCATACATTTAATTACAATGTTATCAACATAAATAAATAAATACCTTACAAGAGCCAAAAATGACAAGATTTTAGATAAAAAAGAGAAAAAGAAGGCCTTCATTTTGCTCCCACTTCCCCTTGAGTCTTTCGTTTTCCTCTAGTTTTTTATTTTAGATCAATGAAAAAAAAGCCATATATATATATATATATATTTTTTTTTTCATTTGAAGTTTTTGATTTCTTCCTTGCTTTTTTTTAGTAGCTCTCTTCATCTCTACTCTCCATTGCTCTCATTATTTATAGACTGCAAAAAATAAACACAAAACAGTTATTATTGTTATATACTACTAATAATCTTGAAATATAGTTGCTAGTGGGATTCAAAGGGAAAAGGGAAGAAGAAAGAGCTTTGTTTGAAGGAGGAAGTGGTGAATAAAGGAAAGGAAAATCGATTTTCCTGAGAAGATGAGCGGTGGGGGTTTAGGGTTTCATCAATTCCGAGCAGCGTGAGGAAAACGATCCAAAACATAAAAGAAATCACGGGTAATCACAGTGAAGATGAGATTTATGCAATGCTTAAAGAATGTTCCATGGATCCCAATGAAACCGCTCAGAGGCTCCTTGTTCAGGGTACTACTTTCTCTTTATATTCTACTTTTAAGTCTCTTCCTAGCTAAGTTTTCCATCTCTTTATGAATTTTAATTTTTTTTGGATTACTAAAATGGGGTTGATCTTATACTTTTTGGTTGTTATTGGTTGTATGTTTTGATGTGATCTGTGTTTCCTCGAGCTTGTCTTCGATCATAATTTCATTTCTGGTGATTTGGGTTTGTTGCTTGGAACTGTAGTAGGTTATTTTTTAGTATTTTTTCAAAGAACTCTTGGAGTGTAACGAGTTTGCAATCTTCAATGTCCATTGCATTGTTACATTTTGATTTGATATGCTTTCTTTGTCTTCTCTTTTATTCCTTTATATATGTTATGTATACCTGTAAATGCAAGGTTCGTTTTTTATTTCTTTTTTTTTGGTCCCTTTGCAAATTGCATGATTGTTGGTGTTCAGATTTCTTTTGCTTAATTTTCATTTTTTCCGAAGCTTAAGGATTTAATGTGTCTATATGGTCTTTACTTAGCTCTCTAGAAACGATTTTTTGATTAAATTGCCTCTTAAATGTCTTGTCTGCTGCAAAATTTATTCTTTTGAAGCTCATTTTGATGTAGTAGTTGCTTCAGTTTGGTACCTTGTTCAGAAATGCTATCTTATCATGGCCTTCAACGTGCTGTAAGCTTACCAGTTTTCTCTACTTATGAGGCATGCCTTTGTTTTGGGCCAAAAGCTGTCATGTCAGATATATGTTGTTCTTAGCTGATGTTACTCTCTTGTTTATGCTTATTTAACTGCTTTTTGCTGGTATATTACCGTTTTACTTGGTGCCATCCTTTGTGAACACTGTATTTTTCTTATCCGGGTTTTATTCCAAATAGATGATATTTTATATTGTCCTTCAGATCCTTTTTGTGAAGTCAAAAGAAAACGTGACAGGAAAAAAGAGGTAAGAGACTCCACTGCAAATTGCACAAGAATTTACTCTCTTTTTGAATTGCTGTAAGTTCTGCATTTTCCTGTTTTGGCAATATTAACCTTATTGTTAAGATATTGGTTTGCAAAAGTTGGAGTGGTTTTATATGCGAGTAAGCAAATAAAAAATTGAGTAGGTGATGGAGAGAAGTAGATAACTCCTACCAGTTTTTGTTTTACCCATGGCAAATTTCTGTTGCCTATAAGGTTTGTCTTCAGATTGGAGAGTTTGGGTATGAAGTTTTTTTTTTTTTTGATAGAAGTTGGAGGTCTCATTAAAAACTCCCTTCGTATTCTTCCACATACTTAGGAGTATGTTGAAGAACATTGGAAGGGAGAAAAGAGTACCTCATATTTTATTAAATAGTAAACCAAGTACAATTGGTAACACCGATCCCTCATACGGGAATATATGCCATTACAAACCAAAAACCTAGACATCTTACATCTTCAAACAAAACGACCTAAGACAAACCCTATCTCTAAAAAACACCTCAAGATATAAGATAACATAGCCAAATAAAAACCAACAATTACAACCCCAAACTAGAAAACACCTCTGAATACTGCTGCCCGAAACATCACAATCCAATAGGAGGAATAAGATCAAATGAAATATCGCAATCTTCAGGGACCCAAGAATTAGGTTTGAAGGAAGGATCAACTTCATGCACCAAGACATTGAATGAACTATCACCGACCTTCAACTCTAACAACTCATCAATTCTCCCTTTATCATTTGTGAGTATTTGAATTTTAGCCCTATCAAAGGACGATGGAAACTCACAACTGTTGTCAATTGCTATTAACTTGCCCCAATTAGTTGCGATGTTTTTGAAAGTATCCCAATTCCAAGCGTGAAAAGGGATACCTTCGCAAACCAACCACACGTGAAAAGGGGTATGAAGTTGTTGGGAGGTGTATTGGATTGACCAGCAACCGCAGGATGAGAGGGTGAAGGAATAGAAAATGTAATAGCAGGGTCCATGATTTGAAGAAAGTTGATCTACCATGGTGTTTGCATGCTTCATTTTTAAATTATTATTGGGAGTGGGGGGGGGGGAATTGAGACTACATGGAAGTAGTTTGTCAAGAATGCCTTTTATTTCACCTGTGTAGTACAATAAGAAAGATTTCCCCCCTGTTTTGTTTGGTTCACACTCTGTTTAATCATTGCAGTTCACATGATTTTACTAATCATTGTTGCAGAGTTTGAACAATAAAGATTCCACAGAGTCGAGGTGGAGATCTGGTTCACAGGGAAGGGGGAGTAGGGGTGGCCGGGGAAATTTCCCACCTCGTTATGCGGCACATGGTAAACAGAAATTCGGAACAAAAACTGAAGTAGATAATGTTAAACTTCTGAAGTAATGAGTTGATTGTGCTGCATACATGTGTTTGTTTCAGCCATGTGACTAATTTAGTACAAGGTCAATCAACAGGTTCATTAATTTTGTTTTAAGCATGTTTTTCTTTTCCCTTGCATTTTGTTGAGTTTTGTGTCAGATGTAGTTTTTGTTACAGCTTGTGTGGTGCTGCATTGCCGATGCTTGTTGGTTGACTTGCTGTTGTCATTATATTTGCCTTCTTTCAGTTTTATAAATAAAATTTCCTTGACTCTTGTGCTAGGTTTTATAAATATTGAATTATTGTCAACAATTGTCTTCATGCAATTTTTGTCTGATTATCCTATCAGAAACTGGTGTTTCCAAGAGTTCTGGTCCTGGGAAAGATAATGGAACAAATCAAGTTGCAGAGAAAGGTAGTGTTCAATCTTCATCAACCTCGCTGGAGACAAAGACTAAAGAATCAACTATGGTAACCAGGTGACCAGAATTTGCTGATCTGCTATCTTATATGTTTTATGTTGTCTATTGGTTAAAGTATGGCTTCAACTAAATGCAGTTTGTTACATTTTCATTGTTATGTTTTATAGCCCTGTACCTGTCATGGCCGATGGTCCTACTGGTGTAGTGGCCGAAACCTCCTCTGCACCTGCAAGAAATACTACCAATCAACATTGGGAAAATTCATCTATTGTCAGCTATGAGTACGGGAGTGCACTATCCCCTGCTGTTGCAATAAACAAACCCACCATTGCATTTGAAAGTGGGGACATGAGTGGGCCGCCTGCAGAAAGCCCTAGTGGCTGCTCCATGTCGACTACTCTAGCATCTTCCTCGACAATTTGCGTCTCATCCTCAGACCCTGTATTAGTTCCATCCAGTGATTCTCACCCCCCTGGCACTTTGGGAGCAATCAAATGTGAAGTGGGAGGTGGCCGAGCTTCTGCAAAACCAAATGCAGTTGTCCCTACTGAAAGAAAATTAGCTTCTGGTCAGGATTTTGAAAAAAAATAAAAATAAATCAGTTTTGGAGACTTATAATCCTTATAATGATCAATCTGATTAGTTCTTTCTATTACTCATGGCAGCTAATGAGATTAGTAGCACTTTCATGCAAGGAAAGATGCCGAGCAAATCTTCTGGAGTAGTGAAAAATCTGCCGAGTGCGTCTGCCCAACCTTCATCTGCTGCAACCCATGGTTCCTCTATGAGTCGGCCTTCATCCAATTATGGTAGCCGCTCACAAGTAATTGGCCCTCAGAAAGGTAGTTGGAATGAATATTGTCTCGATCAATGTTGTTTTGTAAGTTTTTAATGTGTTGGTAATTGCTGATGAAACTTAAAATGGCCTTCTTGTTGGTTTTACGGCTTAATTGGATAAAACTAGAGAAACATTGTGGATTGTGTGCTATAATCCTTCCTCCTGATACATAGAAGAAGAAAAAAAGCGGATTTTCGGCTTTTTGCTGGAGTGTACATTGATGCTTATGTTGTCTCAATCTAGCCTAGGTATCAAGATACGTGGGTTATTTCTTGGAGATGGAATCTATGTAACTTCACTTAGACTAGGAAAATTTACTTGAATGTTTTCCCTTGTTTGCTTAACAAGTGATGTTCAGACTCACTATGTTAACCCTTATAATTGTTGGGATCTGTAGCTATTTTTGGTAAATGGATATCAGCCACCTTTTCCTTTGAGCAAAACATAATTCAGTAGCATGTTTGTTTCAAGTTTGAATGAAAATCATCAATATAATTGAGAAGGAATGTGAATAAGTAGCCCCTTGAATAACAGTGTAACTGTGAGAAACAATAAGGAAAGTTTTTAAAGCTTAAGATATCTTTAGCACAAATTTACTTGGTTTTTCATTTTTTTCATATTACTAATGGTTTGGCAACTCTAAATGAAAATGTGTGCTCTTAAACATATTTTAGCTGATACGTACAAATGATTGGACTACTGTATGTTCTTACCTGAAGATAGTTGAAGGCTTGATAAATATATGCAATGTATTAATTCCTATATGTCATCAACAGTTGGTTCTAATAAGGAGTGGAAACCAAAGCCAATCAGCTCTAATGTTGGGCAGGGTTCTGGAACAGCTGGTACATTTGATGTTCCTACTAGTTCTATTGAAGCCAATGCTCATTTGCAGCCTGTTTCAAGAGTTCTTGACTCTGAAGAAGCAACTTCAAAATTGCAGAAGAAGCTAGAGGAGTTGCATCTCCCACAACGTCAACATGTTATAATTCCAGACCATATCCATGTCCCTGAATCTGAAAGAACCAAGCTGAGTTTTGGAAGTTTTGATGCTGGTTTTGGAGTAACATTGAGCAATGCTGGTTGCCAGGAGAGTGCTAATAGTCCTACACCTTTGTCTGAGCCTTCTCAAGATGTTGATGAAACTCCAGAGGAGCAGGCTTCTAGGTTTGTTAACTTTTTGACTTCTAAGCAATTCCGACCCCCTTTTTCTATGGAATAAGCAATGATCGATACAAATTGTGATCCCGATCTCGCAGATATTTCGATTCCAGCAAATGATGACGCTATAGCTTCAATTCGATTAATTCTTAACAAATTAGTAGTCGCAATTTGTGAGGGTCGTTCTAGCTATATACGAAATCCTTGATTAATAATAAATTAATAATAAGATAAATAAATTATTTTTTGGAACTACATAGATCTATGGAATCGGTTACTATATCCTGAATTGCACAAAAGAGATAAAAAACCGTAAATATTGTGTGATTAGTTTAGTAGGTGTCAAAAATATAGAATTTGAGTATGCAAGAGAAGATTGAATCAAAATAATTCCTTTTTTTTTAAGTAAAGTTATATTTCTGTCAGAGGGCAATATGAATGGTATATCATGTTCCATCAACGCACTAAACGGGTTATACGATATCTCTGGTGTGGAAGTAGGCCAACATTTCTATTGGCAAATAGGAGGTTTCCAAGTCCATGCCCAAGTACTTATTACTTCTTGGGTTGTAATTGCTATCTTATTAGGTTCCGCCATTATCGCTGTTCGGAATCCACAAACCATTCCAACCGCCGGTCAAGATAACCTTTCTATGGATCACTATCTTGCTACTATTTGGTTTTTTTTTTGTATGTTTGGCTCATGCTGTTTTCTTGTATGGTGGTGTTTCTAGCAATCAAAATGCATCGGCAACTGCTGAGGAAGGAGATTACTCTGATCATCCGCAATCACCTGCACATGCTCCTGAAAAATCGTCCAGTGATGGTGGTGTTTCTAGTTCGATGCCAGAGTATAATGAAAACAAGCAGGAGAATGCATTGCTCTCTGGAGGCCATCAATACTCTGTGGTCCATACACCTCCTAACTACAATTTTGGACATGTCCCTCCTATTTTAGCAACAATTGAGAACCCTGAATCTCAAGCACGTGATGTTTCTCGCCTTTCAAGCTTTGTTGTAAGCATCCCCTACTTAATAATGCTGCTCTACTATTGTCTGTATTATTCAAGCTCAATTTTCTTTTAGCAATATTTTTTATGTAAAAAGTAGTAGAAAGTTTCATGTTAACTAGTTTATTTAAAATTCTTGGTTTGAGTTTGCTTTTGGTCATTTTGCTGATTTCTATAATATTGTTTCCATAAAGTCAATTTCAATTGTGACAGTTGTTGGCTCTGATACTTCTTTCTTGTGTTATTGAATGCTTTGATGTGTTGTAGGTTCAACAGCCATTTGATCCAGCAACTTATTATAACCAATTCTACCATTCAAGTGCTGATAATGATGACCGTCTTTCTCCCTTTCCCTCTGGTGGAAATGCCACAAAATACAATGGGAATGTTGCAGTACTTCCTCAACAGACTTCTCCAACTCCGCAAGAGGTTTGTACAGATTAATAACCTTGCATATGTTTACATAGAAAAGGTGTACTTTACTAGAGAAATATTTACTTTTTGAATAAATAATGGAATCCGTTAGTCGAATGAGCATATTGCTTTTCCTTTTCTAATAGACTAATTTGTTTGAGGTAATATACCACAGTTCTGTTGGACTTTGATCTATTGCCCAGAATTTTTATTTGCTGAAATATAGGTACCCAGCTTTTGATCATTCTAGATAGATGATTCTCAGTTCACCTACTTGGTGACTACAAAAGTATCACTTATTTGGTGTTTATTGTTGAGAAGGTAGATGGTTTCACTTTCGCTATAGCAGCAATAAAACTTGCTATATGTTTGTTTTTTTTGGAGCTCCTTTCGGTGAACTGAGAAGTTGACTTGGTGAAATTCGTAATGGTATCAAGACATGATTGTCAGACAAGGCAGTTGATTGCTTTTATACTCATCTTTCTGTGCATTATTACATACTAATACTGAATTTGAATATTCTGTTACTGTTGGACCCATCCAAACTCTAGACACGTGCATATTGCATGTATATTAATTCATTTTCTTTTGTAATTTGGAGCTTATTTGCATCTATTGGCACTTCACAGGGTGTAAACAATTTGGTACTGATAACAGCAAGTCCAACTCCAGTAGTAACTCAAGGTACTGGGCTAATGCAAAGTTCTATACCTGCAACTCAGCAACCATTCCCTGTCTATGGCTCAGCAGCCGGGGTTCATTTACCACTTTATCCTCCAAACTACATTCAATATGCCCCTTTTTACTCTCCTTTTTGTTATCCTTCTCCTGCAATCCACCAATTTATAAACAATGGTGCTTTTCCTCTACAACCTCAAGCCGGAATTGTTTATCCTTCTGCACCAGCAGCACCTACTACAGGAGTCAAGTTTTCTCTTCCTCAATTTAAACCTGGAAATAATACATCAAGTTCCACACATATTGGAGTGCCAAGTGGTTATGGACCATATGGCTCTGCCCCAGCTGGTTATAATCCCAGTTCTGCTGCCACAACTGGAAACTCAACCACAAATGAGGATCTTGGTGCATCTCAGTTCAAGGAAAGCAATGTCTACATCACAGGGCAGCAGGTTAGCAACATGTTCCCATTTTTGTCATTCTTTTTTTATTATTATTATTTCTTGAAGAAATAATGAAACAAAAATTTCATAATGGCTTGTAGGTTCATGTCCCAGTTTGTTCTTTATTTTTCTGTGACGGTTATATGTATCTTTGGACTATTTTTTATTATTATTATAGAGTATACTGCAAACTATTGATATGTTTGGAACTACATTTATGAAATAAGACAAGAATGTAAGAACAATCTTTTATGTTCACATCTCAATTTCTTATGTCAGAGTTGAGATTAAAGTAGTTCTTTGCATCTGGGTGTTATCTTTGGTGTTTGATATTGAATTTTGCATTCGTCCTAGGATAATTTTGTTTCCCTTCTTTCATCTCTTTAAGTTACTTTCTGAGAAGCCCGCAAATGTCAATTCTTGTTTTTCTGTTTCTTCCAGTTTAGGGGGACACTTTGGTTTGGTTGATAAGTGTGCTTCTTATCAAGAAAAAATCCTATCGTAGGATGATTTTGCTTCCCTTTTCCATCTTTTTATGTTACTGTTCTGAGAAGCCCGCAAATGTCAATTGTTTTTATGTTTGTTCCAGTTTATGGGGACACTTTGGTGTGGTTGATAAGTCAACTTCTTAATCAAGATAAATTCCTATTCTTTTTTGACTGAAGAAAATGTCACGTTAATGCATTAAAATTCATGTTAATTTAATGCCTAAAATGGTGATCATGTTCTCATAGGTTGATTTAATTGTCTGTTATGGTTCTACATGATATACTTGTATGTGCCTGTCTTCCATAAGCATTCTCTGTTCTGATATGGATAAACATAGGTCTGGTGAAGTGTCATTTGGCATTTACCATTCTTGACTAGTTTATTAGGTGCCATTTTTTAAAAAAAAATTATTTTCCTTCTATTATCATTTTTTCACATATTTTCTTTGCTGCAGAGTGAAGGTTCAGCTGTGTGGATTGCTCCCCCTGGTCGAGACATATCCAGTCTGCCAGCTAGTTCATTCTATAACCTTCCTCCTCAGAGTCAGAATGTGACGTTTGCTCCAACACAGGTTGGTCCTGGCTCCTTTTCTGGTATCTATCATCCACAATTAAAAAATTCTTTTCCTTCTATTATCATTTTTTCACATATTTTCTTTGCTGCAGAGTGAAGGTTCAGCTGTGTGGATTGCTCCCCTGGTCGAGACACATCCAGGCTGCCATCTAGTTCATTCTATTCCTCCTCAGAGTCAGAATGTGACGTTTGCTCCAACACAGGTTGGTCCTGGCTCCTTTTCTGGTATCTATCATCCACAAGGAGTAGCAGCAGGTGTTCATCCTCTTCTACAACAGGCTCAGACAATGGCTGGAGGTGTTGACATGGGGGGCCTGCTGCCAATGTTTATCAGCAGCCTCAACATGCACAGATGAACTGGCCCAGTAACTACTGAAACAAGGATAGATATGTTCTTTTGTTTTTCTTCTTTTTGTAAATCAACCAAACAAGACAATTCAATGTCTCCAATCTTGCGTTACTTCTGGGAACTCCAACAGCTTTGAATGGAGAGGAGCATCAAGAAGATACACCCATTAGCCAGAGGTAAGATTGTAATTCTGTTCAAGGAGGCCACAAAAGAGAGAGAGAGAGAGAGAGAGAGCCAATGGTATCTTTTGTTTGCTTGGGTTGAGGGCATAAAGGATTCAGTTTCGCCTTTAACTGATTTTGACCGTTTTAAAGTTAGTGACGGTATGCATGTGCAGGTCTGTCTCTTGCTATATGGTTTTTACCCAATTTTCCTTTTCATAGTTTAAAGCTTTTTCCCTTCATATTTTCCTTTTTCAAGTTCTTGAACTCTTAGCATTTACTATTAAGGGTGAGAATCTTTCCCTTTTATTTAAGGTTTAGGGGGTTCTGGAAGTTAAGATTTAGGTTGGTGGAAATTTGTTTTCCATCTCATCTTCTTCTCTTTCACCAGTCTTACCTGCAAAGTTAATTTTGATAGCAAGTAAAGGATGTACTGAACTGAACTGTTGTAATTGGTATAAGCAAAGGCCAACAAATTTTCGATTGTTTCGTTTCATCCTAAATGCTCTTTTCATATGTTATGCAAGTGCAGGTGTCTGTTTTCTTGGCTTGCACAATTCGTAAAGGTATCTCAAAAGGTGGGTCTTTCTTTAGCTTCACTTGTAGAGCACTAGCACTAGTACTAGTTATTGTTTAGATCCAAATATTTACAGGCAATAAATTTACTGTTTTTCTATGGTATTTTTCGATGGTGCAAATCAGTTTGATGTGTTGGGAGTAGCAGAAAATTTGCATATTTGAAAGTTTTGTAATTGCTAGTCAAATTACTGAATGCCCATAAACTTTTTGCAGATGTGTGTTTGTTTTTTTTCTTTAAAAAGCCACAATCTTTTAATTAGTTTAGAATGATTACAATATAATATATGTTTATAGTTTTCCTAGTCAATTGACAATGGACGAACATATACCTTCAAGATGAAACTACTTGAACTCGAGACTTCTAGGAAGAACAATATTTATTTTTATCATTGTGATCGTTTAATGGGTTCAAACAAATAACAAAAATATTAGGTGTTAAATTTTTTAATATTGATATGATACCTTTATTAAAGGTATAATACAATGTATTGTACTTGTGATTAATTGTTACAAAGCACCAGTAGATGCAATCTAAATCCAGAATGGCTCTGGATATGACCCACTGTAAGATTATTATTTTTATCGGTTTTGTTATTATTGGGCGCTTTACCGGTTTTGTTAACATATCTGGTAAAACGATATTTAAAATATTATTTTTTCTATCGATTTTTTTATTATTGGGTATTTTACCGGAAATGTTAAAAAATATTAATATTTTAAGTAAAAATAATAACATTTTAGATAATTTTTTATTGAAAATATTAAAAAGAATAATAATAAAATTGATAAAGTTTTATTTAGTCGTATATTAAGATTACTGTAGAAAAAACAGTTACAAAAAAGCAAACCCTCCCGGAAATTAAAAAAAAGTTTTTAACCAACCATTGGAAATTATTGAAGTTGGTTCCTTTATGGAAGATGAGATGATGCAATGATTAGATTTAATAATTTTGTATCTATATTATATTGGCGTTTTATATTGTTCTTGTATTTAATATATTAAGTATTAATAATAAAAAATAATAAAATCTGTTTATTTATTTGTTATTTTTAATTTGAATATATAATTTAATCAATTTATGCAATCATATTTTTTCTAAAATAATACAGTGGAAATATTCATTTATCGAAAACCGTATTAACGTCTTGTCAATTACAAATTGAACAAACACAGTCGAGACTATCATAAAAGATCATCTAGTTATAGTATGATAAGCAATAATATTAATAAATGAAGCAACAACGTATATAAACTGATCGCACCAACCGCTCCGAACACCAACCATGAAGGAGAAAAACTTGAAGAATATTCAAAACTACAAACAGAAAAGGCTATCTCCCATGAAAAACAATCTCATCCATGAAATACAGACTAAGAAAAAAATCAAGAGATAAACCTACATCGAAAGTCTATAAACATCGGTAACCATGATACTCTTTATTAGAAAAAGAGTCTAGAGAAAACATTAATATTAAACTATGATAAAACTAAAGTTGAAAACCAATAAAAATAAAAGGAAATAACGAAAAAATGGGAGGAAAAAAAACATCTATTGATAAACATCTAACACACCTGCTGCATGAAGATGGACCCTGCCTTAGTTAAAGTCTAAGAGTTTGTTCGTTATCTAAAAAAAATATATTAATAAATGATGATCTATTTTCTACTCTTAAATTTTTATAAATTTGTCCCTTCTATATATATACTTTAGAATTTTTCTATATATTTTCTATTGAAAATATATTTTTACCCCCTAAAATTTTATAAGTTTTCCCTCTAGTATAAAATCTTACATCCGTCCATATATATATATATATACTATTTATTCATTGTCACTATTTATACTATCAGATCATTCATGTTGACACCATTTATACATTTTTTTTCTATTTTAGAGTGTATCATCCGCAAGGTTCATTGTTTTAATGAAAGATGTTGTGAAGTTTATTCCAATTAGAATCAGTGTCCATTGTGCTAATTATTGCTACCATAAGCTTTTGTATTCTTTTTACCCTGATGATTAGTTCTTCAATGACTAATAATATCATAATGAAATAAAATTTAGAAATCTCTGAATTTACAAAATTCATTCGTAATCAATATAGAATAATGTAGGAAATCAATAAACTTTATGTAGCTTTTATATCTCATAAACCACTGAACAATGCTTGTTAAGAAAGATGTTCTCAGGATCAAAATCGGCATGCCAAGTAATATGAAATTAAAAGAAAAGAAAAATAGTAGGAGCTAGCCTCATTCGACTTGTATTGTATGGGTACTAACAGCCCTTGTCTGACCCTTTCTCTTCTAATATAAGAGCCTGGGGGAAGAATCCCATGTCTTATAAGATCAGTCCATTCTCTTTTATTTCCTACTAACCTTGGCCCTCTTTACTGGAACAAGAGTCAGTTTCTTGCCGGATTTGCTAGTTCCGGCTTCTGCTGTACGTAGCATTGAAATAGCAACTTGATGCTGCTTTTCGTCCGCTTTCTCGTCTGTAAATGGTTTCAATTCGAAAGCTCCCCGGACGAAACCTCGGGAAACCTGTGTTTTAAAATCCCGGTGATCAGTAAAGAAAAAAAACTCGCAAAAATAATACAATCAGTGTAGAATGTAAACTAATCATCCACAGTTTTAGTCCACGCAATGTCCACATACAAAAACTACCAGGTTCAGTCAGATGTTTGCAAAAACACAAATATGATATCAATGGTCAAGGATGTCAAGGTAGAAGAAAGATAACATGTTCGATTGGTGCATGACACTGAGCTAGATATATTACAGCCTAAAATGGACTTTGACAATGTCCATGCCAATTGAGGGATGATGAGATGATGAACACACATGTTAATGGTTAAATAGTGCCAATCACCAAGCACACAATATTTGAATGTTCGAATATAGGAACTGTATTTTATATGTGAACTTGTGCTAAAATCGTGGAAATGAAAGAAAGCGATGAACATGGTGCACCTTCAAAAGAATCCAAACTTTCAGGGAACTACTCAATATTGCAAGCCTTGTCCTTTTCCCTGAAGTTAAGTAGTTACACATGTGTTGGTCGACCCTCAGGATAAATCTTGGCCAAGATTTCGGATTTTCAGGGTTTGCCCTCTGTTTCATCACCGCCTGATCCCGAAAAAGAGGTGTAAACAGATTATTTCCTCGCCATTTCCATCAGAGGAAAATAAGGTCTTGTCATAATCAAAATTAGGACAAAAACTTCATCCAACTCTTAACCATTCAGTTGCAAAGTGAACAATGTTACTTACAAGTAAACGATAAATTTCTTGCTCAATTTTTGAAAAGGAGGTCTCTAGAGCTTCAACCCTCCCTGTGCCATGACAACAAGTGCATGGTTCACTAATCATAAATGTCACGCTTGGCCGAACCTGTTCAAAGTTTATATCATTTATAAGTTTAAAAGAAATAAATCAGTTCAATCTGAAGATTGAATATTGTCATTTGAAAATAACTTTTTATCTTGAGCTCGAAACTAGGATAAATTAGAACCAGGTATAGATATACATGATCAATTGGAACCCTGGGAAAGTTCCCCAACAATTAGAAGCAGAATTTCAGGAATCAGCATACCCTCTTTCTAGTAATTTCCATGAGTCCATTTTTTGATAATTCAGAGACTTTCACCATTGATCGATCTCTCTCAACTGCTTTCTTAACTTCTTCATATACTAGTCTCTTATTTGCTGAAAATTTGAGAGCCAAGTAAACATCAGTGACACATTTCCTTCAAAGAAGTTAGAACATCAGTGAAAATTTGAAAGCCAAGTAAACATCAGAGACACATTTGCTGAAAATTTGAGAGCCAAGTAAACATCATTACTAACTTGTTTTACCACTTCAAGCATGTAGCATTCACAAGGTTTACTGGAGCAACCTCCTTTAGTTTTTAATACGTAAGTTATAATGCTATATAGCATCTTCAAGTTTCTACCAGAGCAGCTAACCTAATGGGATGGATAGAAACAATTCATAAGACTAGCAATTCGAAGGTGAAAGAGATGATTCTGATAAAAACCAGATAACAAATATTCATAGAAAACATAAGCAATTTGAGCAGTTCCAATAGATCGACAGATAGCAAAGATAACCATAATAGAGAGAGAGAGAGAGACTCACAGTCGTCTTCCATATCAATGAAATCCACTACGATAATGCCACCGATATCCCTAAGTCGTAACTCCTTCGTGATCTGAAAAGTAGTATTTACTGTTTAATAACACTATCAAATCTGTTAATGCAATGGTCAACATGGGTGGATAATTTATTGAAAACAACATACAAAAAGAACAAGTGACTGCCAAGAACTAAATTATGCACGGAATACAAGCACTTCATAAAACGATGCACCTGCTGCCTATCCTCCTACTACCTCTTCCCTCTCACCACTTACTAAGGGTGAAGCTTCTTAATTAGAATGTTAAGTAGCATTATTGACTTTATATCAAGGGAAATAAATATTGGTATACAGGAGTTCGACATTTTACATCTTAATAGAAATATTAAGCAGCATGGTTGTGTTTATATCAGTTGAATTGATTACTTCCATACACACACAAAAAATGCCTTAGAGTCATCATCAGCAGCCACTATGAGATAATGTGATTATCCGTATACATACAACCCGAAAAAAAAAAATCAATAATTGGAGTATAAAGAAACTGACGAACAGTGCTTGATTATATTTCAGAAGAAAGTAAATAAAAACATTAGGATTCATGAGATAATAGCACATTTCCTCTCTCGGATTGACACAACCAACTTATAATTGTGAGATGGATGTGCACTAAAAGTGGAAAAATAATTATAGTAAAAAGCGTTCCACATACTTGTTTTGCAGCAGCAAGATTGACATCCAAAGTGGCCTTTTCCTGTGATGCTCCATGAC